AAGTTGGGCAAATTCATTCGGCAAATTCATTCGGCAAACTTCATAATTTTTTGAGTGTACTGAATCTTGAGTTTGGAAATCATTTGATAACAATTAGAGTTACACTAATTTACACTATGCAAAAAAGTAGCAACAAGTGGTACCTGTTACATGTAGCATTTTATAGTATTAGTAATGTTCTTTTGTAATTTTGCAGTAATAATGTTATTTTTCTGACGTCATTTCCTCATTTCTTTTACCATACTTAAAGCAGATTTGTTTGGGTTTTTATTTATATTGCATTATTTCATTAGTAAAGTTTTATGATTGGTCCTCAAAATATAGTGCAATAAGCTTGTTTTGGTATTGAGCTGTAATACGATCTACTCTGTGTAAACGTCAAGTTTTATTATTATTTTGTGTTATGGTAATTACAACAAGTTATTTAAAATATCGTTGATAACTAAAATCAGTATATTCACTAAAATGCTGCTTTATAATATTTATTGGATTGTTTAAATAGGTTCAGAGCCTCGCCAAAATTGCACGATCATCTTCACCAACTGATTCCATTTCAATAAAACTGATACGTAATAACTATTTTACACATAAAAAATCTGTACAAAAAATTGTAAACCTTTTTTAACTTTTTGTAAAAGAGGGGCCCTGTTATGGCTTCTAAATATTACTATTTTTTGATGCGAGTCGAGTAAGCATGGGCATGTTATTATTATCAAATAGAGTTGCGTATTTATTAAGTGGTATTAGGTAAGTGTATTAAGTGTTGCGAGGTGTGCACTTACGAAGTGTTTTAAAATGATTTTATCATTAGTTTAGCAAAATAAAGCAAACAAACAGCTTGAATTGTTTGAACACTCATTGACTTATTTACTTAAAAAGAGCATTACAAACTTCTTTAGTCTTATCTATTCATCTGTATTTAAACATAAATTTGAATTTCTAACGTTAAATATGTAAATCTAAAAACGCTAAATATACAATATATAGACTGTGTAACATAAACCTTTAAAAATTTATAAAAAATATATTTAAGCAAGATTAAAGAAGATCAAATAGAACTACTTGCATGTTAATTGGTACTACCCAAATCAAGTTAATTTTATCGCTATGATCATTTTTATAATTAATTATATATCATATGTTGCATTTATATATTCAATATGACAAACTAT